TTGTGGGTGAAGCTTGTGGGTGAAAGTGCTTACACAATAGCCGTAAAATAGTAATTGAATACAAGTACTGTTATGAGTTGAGCTCTTATCAATTCCCGTTAAGAACGTGACAGCTCCAATGTTTTGTGCGTTTATTAACAGAGACTCTATATCTGTACAAAAATGAGCTTCAAGTGGATCATTTTGGTATTTTCTTTCTTACTCGGAATTTATATTATTTATCTCTGAAGCCTTATGTTTTATTTGCAAAGAAGAAAATGTATATATTCTCTTGACAATAGTCTGTAGCTGAAAATGAATGTCAAACTTATCTACATAAGTTAATTGATGGTTTAGCTATACCAAATAAATAAAAGCTACAAAGTATATATACACAACGCCGCATTTCCGCGAAATGATCGCATGTCGAAAAATGTAACTTTACAGGAGAACCTTTTTTGTGATTCAGTTATTACATATTAATATGCAAACGCTTTAATTTAAATTGATTTTTTATTCCGTAACTGGAGCGAATCGTATTCGTATCAATCAATCGTAAACTCGGACACGGACACTGACAGTGGGATGAAGATCGTACCAAACCAATAGACCATTCGCACTTTGTGAACGGGTGCAATAATCTAAGTATTGTCTTTGTTGGCATTTCCAATTACATACGTAGCTTACAATTAGTTAACTAACTCTGTGGAAGTACACGATGCGCGCGCTCTGGAGCATTCCAACAATGAAAAGCAAAAAGCGTGCGGTTTGATGACGTTATTCAAATACTCGAAACTGTTCAAGTTTTACTTTGGAGTTCCTACTGCGAACCGAAGGAACGCAATTGCAGAAATTTAGTGTGTGTGTGTAAGGGGTGGGGGGGGGTTTGGTAGCAGCGAGCAGCTTAAAACTCAATGCAATTTCCGGCACACAGATGTATATATGCTGTTCCAGTGCTTCACTACTCCACTACTCCACTACTCCACTACTTCACTGTTCCACTGTTACATTGCTCCACTGCTACATTGCTGCCAAAGTTGGGTCGTGGCGTCTTTTGTCTTCCGCCGTTGCATGTAAAGCGAAAGTTTTATCAGCGTGCTGCATTTCATTCATTCCATTTAAAGGAGCTGCCAGTTTGGCTGTTGCTGCCATTGAACGAGCGGCAGCTAACGCAAACATCTCACAAATGTGTAGATATGTGTATATGTATATGTATAGGTGGGTGTGTGGGTACGGGCGTGTTTGTATGTGTGCACACACAAAACAAACCAGCATCAACAACTCTTAACCTCAATGAGCAGCCGCAACACGGCGTATGAGTAACGACCGAGTAAAAAAAATGTATAGCATAGCTTCGGGGGCTACTCAAATATTTATACGTATAGCAGAGGGCTGCCTTTTGTTCGTCGTTTGCCGTCTGCTCTAACGTATATTCCCTTCTCTCTTTAATGCAGATGCACTCAAATTTGCTGATATTTATTTGGCGCCGCAAACTTTCAGTACTGCTGCTGGCATCGGCTGTTGTTTTACTTGGACTCTGGACATGGGCCATACTGGATGATACCACCAAGACCCTGCCAGCGTTCGCACAACAGACATCGCAACAGGCCACAGATGAGGCCAACTATCAGCACGTTCATATCATCCAGAAGCTGATAGCCCAAGCGAATCGGGTTTTGCGTGCCGAGCGCCAAAAGGACAACGCGGAGCGTCCCTCCCCGGCGCAGCGTCTGCTTGGCAACGTTCGCTTCGTGCGTCCCACTCAGGCGAAAAAGGCGCCGTTGCCCGTTGCCGACAGTTATCTGTTCGAGCAGGAGCGTTTGAAGATTCTGGAGCAGCAGCAGCGGCACCGCAACGCAGGCATGGACGAGCTTAATGCCAACGCGGAGGACGATCGCATGCTCAGCTCAGCAGAGCGGCAGACGCAATACGAGCACGAGCTGCAGCGCATGGGTGTCCCCGTAGTGGCTGGCATTGGTCCGGATGGACCACGTGCTCCGGCCGAGCGACTGGTCCATCTGGATCTCAAGGGTGCGCCCCCCAAGCTGAGCTTTTTGAAGCAACTCCTGCCCGTGCTGCGGGCCTTGGGCGCCACTGGACTGCTCATTGAGTACGAGGACATGTTTCCCTACAGTGGCAATCTGCAGCCGCTAGCCGCGCGCAACGCATATAAAGAAGCTCAACTAAAGGTAGATATAATTTTATTGCTTATATATGTGTATACTCGATGTGCATTTGTATTTGTAACTAAATTATTCATTCCACACTATAATCTATTGCTCAGTGTGTAAGGCCCAGCTTTGGTCTATTACACATGCTTATCTTATCGCTGAGTCTGTAAGACTCCGCGTTGGTCTACTAGCTATTCTTGTCCTATCGCTGAGTTTGCAAGGCTCAGCACTCGTCGCTTACATATTATAGTCGCTAGGATTGCAAGGGTGCAGCTCATCTGCCCACCTTAAGAGTCCACGTGTCCCACACGGTATCTATTTTATGTATGCTATTTTTAAAACGCGTAGAGGGTATGTTCTCATAGTTAGCACATTTCTATATTCGTGTATGTTCATGAATACACGGATATTTTATTTGGGTTCGATAAGTTTTTAAAAACAAAAGCCAATTTTTATCGTTAACATTGTTACTTAAGTTACGCTGGCATCAAAAACTTTATTATAGTTCTGCTTTTTATTTACATAAATACTTCGCAGGACTTTCTGGAGTCCGCATGGGTGGAGTATGGTCTTAGTATTATGCCGCTTGTGCAAACATTTGGACACATGGAGTATGCACTGAAGCTGCCTGGGTTCGAGCAGTTACGTGAGCTGCCTGAGAGTCCACAATCCATTTGCCCCAGCCAGCCGCAGAGCATGGCGCTGCTGGAACAGATGCTCACCCAGGTCGTTGAGCTGCATATGCGACTCTCCGACAATGCGACGTCCTCGACGACTCAGCTGCCCAACAAGTTCACACATTTGCATATTGGATGCGATGAGGTGCAGCGCATGGGGGAGTGTTCGCTCTGTCGCCAGCGACTGCGCAGTGAACTGTTCCTGTCCCACGTGATAAGCCTGGCTCACTTTGTGCGGCGTCGCTGGCCGCAGCTGAACGTCGTCATCTGGGATGATCAGCTGCGTGCGATAAGTCTCAGCGAGCTGCAGAACTCTCAGATCGGCAGCTATGTGGAGCCCATGGTGTGGGTATATGCCAGCGATATATATCACTTTATACAGCCCCAGCTATGGAACACCTATGCCAAGGTGTTCCCCAGCGCATGGGCGGCGTCCGCGTACAAGGGCGCCTTTGGGGAGAGTCTGCTGGTGCCGCCACTGCAGCAGCATCTGGAGAACAACATACGCTGGCTGGCTGTCATAGCTAAGGAGGGTGGGCGCTTTGCCAAAGGCCTGCGAGGATTGGCACTCACTGGCTGGCAGCGCTACGACCATTTTGCCGTACTTTGTGAGCTGCTGCCCGTGGGCATGCCCAGTCTGATGACATCGCTGTCCACAGTCGCAAAGGGCTATTTTAGCATCAATCCACGCGACAACGAGCTGTTGCGTGTGCTGCGTTGCGTCTTTCAGCCGGACAGCCGGCGCTCAGGACATCCCTGGCTAGAGCTGCATCCGAATGCGCATTATAGTCAATTGTTTGCCGTGTGCAGCTATCCAGGTCACCTGGTCTTCAAGTATGCGCTTCGCCTGTACGACAAACTGGCCGAGGTGCGCAACTACTTGCAGCACACACGGGAGCACAGTGCTTGGCTCTCGGACTACAATGTGAGGCACAACTTTAGTTCGCCGCTGCGCGTGCAGGAACTAACGGCAAGGACGCCCCAGCTAGTGGAAGAGCTGCGCACCATGGCACGCGAGGCTCAGCAGCTGCTGTGGGAAGTGTATGACGAGCATACGGTGGGAGAATTCGTGGAGCAGCACATTTATCCTAGCATCAATGCGCTGCATCAACAACTTGCTAGTGGGCAGACGCTGTTGCAGCGGCGCACCTGGCAGCAACGGCCGCTGCCGTTGAGCCTAGAGCTGCAGCAGGACATGGGACTGGTAACCACAATAGATCACCAGCGGGAACATTGAGCAGACGTGCTAACTAACTGTTTACTGCTGGGAGCACATACACACATATACACATAGATACATGTTAATGTATTGTAGTCAAGGCGTTCGAAACGCCCTAAGCTAATGGATAATAACGGTTAAGTTTTTAATGTTGACAACACTGCGGCATTTTCCAATCCCCATTAACATAATAAACATAAAATGTTCATTTTGTCAAGATATCACTCTAAAAGCGAAAATATCGTACATACATTTTATTATGTAAAGGAAATAAAACATTTTGGCATTTATGCTATAAACCAATGTTTGTAATCATATTTTTAAGTAAAAATTTTTAGCGGCATATACATAAGTTATCAAAGCTTAACATACAGAGTTGCCAGCCTAACGCCGCACAAAGGATTGGACTTGTTTGGTATTTTTTAGTGCCATCAGTATTTTTGTCGACAAAAAGGACGACAAACAGCAATGACGAAAAACATGTGTTCGCGTAAAATCGATGAATAAACGCCCGAAAGCAAATGTGAAGAGGATTTTTTTACACGGAAGAGCTGTGTGGTGTAACTAAGTTAACATTTATTGATTATTAAATTGCCGAAAAAAAGAAGACACGTTATAGACTCGGCAGCTTATTATCGCAGTGGCTGCATAACTGTACATACATATTTATATAAAAAACTAACTAATTGGGCGCAAAATGGGAATTACAGAAACGCCGAAAACAGCAGCAGCAACAACAACAACAACGGCGACAAGCACAGAAGCGGTTAATGAAAGCAAGAAGGTTTTGACATTAGCCACGTTCCAAGACATTTTTAAGCACGTGGAGCCAGAAGTACGCATTGAGGCATTTGAGGTTTGTGTAAATGATCTTTATTTGCATTACATGCAATATATATATACATATATATATATATACTCACATATACATGCCTATATTATGATTTACTTGGTTAGTTAGCGCAAGGCTCAGACCGCGGCGACAACTATACGGCAGCCCTGTATCGCATCTGTTTGAGTGGGCAACGCCTTAGCCTAGATGGCAGCACGCACAAATGGCAGCAGAACGTTATATGCAAAGTGTTGCCAGAGAGTGTGGTCCAGCGGGAAGCCTATAAGAGCGATAAGCTTTTTCGGTTTGTATGAGGGAATACATGTATGTATGTATGTTTATTTTCCGTCTTTTGTTTGTGAACACATTCTTGCAGCAATGAGGTAGAGTTCTATACCAGAATAATGCCGGAGCTGCTAAGATTCCAGGCCAGCAGAACGGGCTTAGAGTCGCAGTTATTCAATTCAATACCAAAGTGTTATACAGCAAGGCAAGACCTGCTCATTATGGGTAATTAAGTTTCATGTAATTATAGTTAAATTTCTGTAATATTCATTGTTGGTTTTGGGTTTCAGAGGATCTACGTGTCCGAGGCTTTGAGATGTCTGATCGACATAAGGGTCTAAGCACGGAGGAAACACAATCGGTACTGCTGCAGGTCGCCCAGCTCCATGCCCTTAGTTTGGCTTATAAGTTCGAGCATCCGCTAGAGTTTAGAAAAATGTGCAGCCAGATTAGTGAGGGTATCTTCTGCACAGCCAACGCGAACTGGTATAAAAATTATTACGAACGCCTTACGAAGAATGCCATTAAAATGGTTTCCGATGTCCTGCCCGCGGATTCCAAGTATATGCAAGCAATGTGCAAATTTGCAAAAAGCTCTTCGTTCTTTTCCCAGATGGTGGAGTTGGCCAGTGCTGAGTCGCCGTTGTCCGCCATTTGCCATGGCGACTGTTGGGTCAATAATTTTTTGTATAAGTACGATCCTGCGGATCGACAGCGTGTGCTGGAGGTGGCGCTGATTGACTTTCAGCTGGTGCGCTACAGCTCCATTGCACTGGATATTGCCAATTTGATGTACTGCTGCACTACGAAGAAAATGCGAGACGCCCAAAAAGATACATTGCTCAAGGGATATACGGAGGAGCTGTATAAATGGTTGGAGCTGCTGTGCACCGTATTACCTGGCTACTGCAATACCCTGCAAAAGCTTCAGGAACTGTAAGATTACTTTGTTAAACTGTAAATCAGTTCAATAAATTGTTTTCTTACAGATTTGCTCAGGAATTAAAAACCTATGGACGATTTGCTCTTGGCCTCGCCATGGATATAATACCCATTAGCACATGCTCATCAGAGGATGCCCCCGACATGTACTTGAATCGCAATGATGACCCCGACGAGGATGTGGGTGCGCCTGCTTTAAATTTTCCACCTAACGACTTGTGCCGACAAAAGATGTCTGAAATTTTGGTTGATATGGTCGACAGTGACATGCTCTAGAGCATGGTCCAAATAGTAAAAGCATAACGAAA